TCGCGCGCGCTCGACACATCCAACTAGCCCGAACTACAAAACCGGTATGGCCCCGAGCCGCGCGCCCTCTGACGTCGATTTCGAAAACAGCGTTTGGCGCGAACAGGAAGAAAATAGGAAAACAAAATATTTTATTTATTTATTAAGACATTATTTATTGCAAAATAAATTGACAGGTTATAGATGGTTATGTTATATAAATTATAAAGCAACCTTTCTGCATTTTTGTGTAAACGTCAAATTCTTTAAGTAAAACCCATATACGCGAGCTATGCCGCGGGCACAGCTAGTATTGAATAAAAGTTAAAATAACGAATTTTCATTTTACATAGAAACTTTTTTAGGAAATCTCGATTGGTTTTATCGATCGATGACAGCAAGTCAGCCGTTTCTTGGTTGATTAAAGATCGAGTTTTTAATTCCTCAATTACACTAGATTGGTCAGCAACTTTTTTTGCAAACATCAGGTCTTTGATCTTAAAGCATCTAGTTTCTTCCTCCTATTATCGCTTAATAACGTCTTCTTTTCCAATTTCTTATTTAACTTCTTTTTACGTGGAGTTATCTCAACTTCCGGCACTGCCATAGGTATATCTTGTGTCTTTTTTTATAGTATAGGATGACAAGCGAGCACACAGTCCACCTGATGGTAAGTAGTTGCTGTGGCCCATAGACATCTACATCTATCCTCTATTACAAATCAAAATGCAGATGCGTTGTCACCCGTGAGGACTAAGATGGAATGCCTCTTTGCCAGTAAAAAGGGTCTCCGGTTCTCTACACTCACCATACGAAACACGGCAGCGTTAAGCTGCTATTTTACGCTGGTATTCTGCGAGAGCGTTGTCCTTCCCCGGTCGAGCCGACCCATTCGTGCTACAACTGTACTACTAATATAGCTGCAGCATGGCTCTACCACGTATACGCGTCTGAAATATAATAAAGAATATTACAGTATTTATAATAAACTAGCTGTTACCTACGGCTTCGTTCGTTTTTTTTAAAGCCTATAGCACTCAGGCATATTGTAGCTTCGCACGCGTGCGAGAGAGACGACTAATCGCTCAACTCAACTCCTTTTTTATGACAGCAGTATCGCGCAGTAAAGCAATCTGCCAAGTGTTGACGTTACATAATAAGGCTACGAGGTCACGACCTGTGTAGAACAGAGGAGCGCTTTGAAACAGTTTACGAGTTATTTTATTAGTTGATATTATTAATAGGGCAAATCGGTCTTCTCAGCTTGTATGGAAGCTTCGCTACCGAGCGAGTTATTTGCATACCATTAAGACATGGATAAACATTATTGAAATGTTTGTTTGCAAGTCTGTCTGTCTGGGCTAGTCATTGGAAGAGCTTCATGGGCTGAAATGAAACTTCACAACCAGATATAGAGCGATGCCAGGAGTGACGTAGGCTATAGTTTATCCGCAAAGCTTGGTCATTTTTTTATAGGATAAAGGTGACAAACGAGCACACAGTCCACCTGATGGTAAGTGGTTGCTGTTCGATTACGAATGAAAATGCAGATGCGTTGTCACCCGTGAGGACTAAGATGGAATGCCTCTTTGCCAGTAAAAGGGTCTCCGGTTCTCTACACTCACCATACGAAACACAGCAGCGTTAAGCTGCTATTTTACGCTGGTTTTCTGTGAGAGCGTGGTCCTTCCCCGGTCGAGCCGACCCTTTCGTGCTACAACTATTCTACTAATATAGATGCAGCATGGCTCTACCACGTGAAATCTTAAATCTCGATGATGAAATAAATGGCAACACCGAAGCGAAGCCGGGGCGTGCCACTAGCATTCAATAAAAGATGTGCGTTTGTTCGCTATTTTTATTTATTTATTATTTATTGAATCCCTAAAACAAAAGAATACAAAGTGCGGACTTAATGCTTAACTCTCCGTAACTGCTTTAGTCGACTGCGAGCGGGAGAGAAGACTAGTTCTTTGTTTTGTAAACTGCGATTTTTTCGACAATCTAACACTGACTTTGTTTAATGTGACTAAGAATACGCTGTCATTATTTATGTGCGCAGTTTGTCAACGTGATTTGAAGTTTATTTCATATAAGTGTGTAACGTATTTGCCTAAAAGCAGTAACTGTCATAAATGAAAATATAACCGCGTGCCATATTTACCGTGCCGGCTACCCGCCCGCGTGATCCACAGCTGTCACACGGTTTTTGTTCTGAATTGCCGCTCTAATAATAAACAAAGAAGTCTTTGACTTATATACAATTTAACAAAAAGTTCAAACAATCCTGAAGATACATTTCACTTTACAACAACACCTAACTAAACAAAGCCTCTGCAAGAAAACTGCCTTACAGTACTTAAACTGTAAAGTTTTATTAATACAAGTCAAGGTAAAACTAATAAAAACAAAGTCCACACGTTAAAATAAATAACAAAATCATTTCCTTCATTAGCATAAGATAATCTATAAGATCAAAGTAAACAAAAAAAAAAAAACATTAGCGTAAGATATAAACTTTCAAATATGAAACAAATGGGAGGTTAGTGGAAACAGACCAGACCATGTTTTTTTTATTTAATTGATTGCTAATGTTTTTCCTTTTTTCGTTTCGATGTTTATTGTGTTCTTGTTAGAGAGCCTATTAAAGTCAACTGCTGATGCTGAACATAGGCCTCCTCCATAGATTGCCTCATGGGGGGGGGATTATCTATAAGATCAAAGTAGACCTAAGATTTAAAAAAAAACAAAAGTAATGATGTAAATGTCTTTCACTTTAATTTATAGTTAGCTGCCACGGCAGGAGTTTAATGTTTCAGTTTCACTCCGAATTCAGTCTAGACATTTTACAGTGTAAATATCATCATCATTACAGCCCTTCACAAGTCCACTGCTGAACATAGGCCTCCCCGAAAGAATGCCACAAAGCACGGTCCTGAGCCACCTGCATCCATCGACTTCCTGCATGTCTTACCAGGTCGTCACTCCATCTCGTGGGGGGACGCCCTACACTTCGCCTACCGGTACGTGGCTGCCACTCGAGAACCTTTCTTCCTCATCGGTTGTCGGTTCTTCGAGCTATATGGCCGGCCCATTGCCACTTCAGCTTACTTATCCGTTGGGCTATGTCGGTCACTCTGGTTCTACTGCGGATATCCTCATTTTTGAGTTTATCACGTAGAGAAACTCCGAGCATAGCCCTCTCCATAGCTCGCTGAGCGACCTTGAGCTTCCTCATCCGGCCAGCAGTGAAGGACCACGTTTCAGTTCCGTATGTCATCACTGGCAACACGCACTGGGTGTAGTCTCGTTTTCAAGTTTTGAGGTATACCTGACGAGAAGATGTGCCGTAATTTCCCGAACGCTGCCCAACCGAGTTGAATCCGTCGATTGACCTCTCGGTCGAAGTTGGACTTACCTAGTCGGACTATTTGTCCCAGGTAAACATACTCGTCAACAACTTCGAGCTTAGTGCTCCCAACAACTACCGGCATAGGTGTGACATGGACATTAAACATGATCTTTGTTTTGTCCAAGTTCATCTTAAGACCTATCCGTTGGGAAACACTATTGAGGTCTGAGGTATATAGTGCTTAGGTCCTCCAGCGGTTCTGCCATAAGGACTATATCGTCGGCAAATCGAAGGTGAGTGATGTACTCGCCATTGATGTTGATACCGTATCCTTTCCAGTCCAGAAGCTTGAAAACATCTTCCAATGCAGCGGTGAAGAGTTTCGGGGATATGACGTCACCCTGTCTTACACCTCTCTGCAATTGGATAGGTTTCGTACTCTGGTTCTGTACTCGGATAGCCATCGTAGCTCTACTGTACAAGCACTTCAACACTTCGATATACCGACAGTCAACTTGGCACCGCTGAAGTGACTGCAGCACCACCCAAATTTCGACAGAATCAAAGGCTTTCTCATAGTCCACATACGCCAGACATAGTGGCAAATTGTACTCCTCGGACTTCTGCACAATTTGCCGAAGGGTATGTATGTGGCCTATGGTGCTAAAGCCTTTTCGGAAACCGGCTTGTTCGGGAGGCTGGAAGTCGTCAAGTCTGCGCGCGAGACGATTAGTGAATTAATAACTCGACTACAAAAGCCATCTTGTACGGAATAATAGACCGAGTAGAAAAACTTTTCCGTGCCTTATGTGCTAATTGAAACTGCATTTATTCTGAAGAAGCTGATTCAAAAACCAAAAAAATAAACTTTCAAATATGAAACAAATGGGAGGTTAGTGGAAACAGACCAGACCATGTTTTTTTTTTATTTAATTGATTGCTAATGTTTTTCCTTTTTTCGTTTTGATGTTTATTGTGTTCTTGTTAGAGAGCCTATTAAAGTCAACTGCTGATGCTGAACATAGGCCTCATCCATAGATTGCCTCATAGGGGGGATATTTGCCATAGTTGCCACGCTTGGCAAGCGGGTTGGCAACACGGTTTTTTTTATTTTATTAGGAAGACGCTGCTGCCCAGCTTCTGATTTGTTTCTCTCTGTCGCCTCTACGACACACTCAGGATGATAAGGGCTAGTGGATATTCTTATATCTATATCTATATCTATATATTATATCTAGGCGACGGAGGAAATAAACCAGAAGATGGGCAACAGCGTCTTCCTAATAACAAATAAAAATAAAAAACCGCGGTTGCCAACCCAACATGCATGGCAACTATGGCAAATATCCCCCCTATGAGTCAATCCGTGGGGGAGGCCTATGTTCAGCAGCGGACTTTTATAGGCTGTAACGGTAACGATAAATGTCGAAACGAATAAATAAAAACAAACTAGTATGATTTAAATAAAATTAAAAAAAAACATGAAGTCTAGTCTGTTTCCAGTAACCACTCGGTATATATTTCAAGGTTCGATTTCACTTGGTTGCTTCTTTGGTTTTTGAATTAGCTTCTTTAGAATAAATGCAGTTTCAATTAGCACATATGACACGGAAAGGTTTTTCTACTCGTTCTACAGTTACATAAGGAACTCATGACAAATGGATTTTTATCTAGTATACTTTTATATTAATATAAAACACGTTTACATAATATTGCACATATTTTACCAGATCTCTCACAAAAAGGGTTCTGCTCAAGTGTGTGTTTTCATATGTGTTTGCAAACTACTTTTTGTAATACATTTATATTCGCAGATATTACACGAAAAGGGCTTTTCTCCTGTATGTATTATCATATGCTTTTGCAAATACCTTTTTTCTATACATTTATATTCACAGATATTACATGAAAAAGGTTTTTCTCCAGTATGTATTTTCATATGCCTTTGCAAATCACTTTTTCTAATACATTTATATTCACAGATATTACATGAAAAAGGTTTTTCTCCAGTATGTATTATCATATGCTTTTGCAAATACCTTTTTTCTATACATTTATATTCACAGATATTACATGAAAAAGGTTTTTCTCTAGTATGTATTTTCATATGCCTTTGCAAATCACTTTTTTGAATACATTTATATTCACAGATATTACATGAAAAAGGTTTTTCTCCAGAATGTATTTTCAAATGTGTTTGCAACATATGTTTTCTAATACATTTATATTCACAGATATTACATGAAAAAGGTTTTTCTCCACTATGTATTTTCATATGCATTTGCAATTTACTTTTTTCTATACATTTATATTCACAGATATTACATGAAAAAGGTTTTTCTCCAGTATGTATTTTCATATGCCTTTGCAAATCACTTTTTGTAATACATTTATATTCACAGATATTACATGAAAAAGGTTTTTCTCCAGTATGTATTTTCATATGCATTTGCAATTTACTTTTTTCTATACATTTATATTCACAGATATTACATGAAAAAGGTTTTTCTCCAGTATGTATTTTCATATGCCTTTGCAAACTACTTTTTTCTATACATTTATATTCACAGATATTACATGAAAAAGGTTTTTCTCCAGTATGTATTATCATATGCTTTTGCAAATACCTTTTTTGTATACATTTATATTCACAGATATTACATGAAAAAGGTTTTTCTCCAGTATGTATTTTCATATGCCTTTGCAAATCACTTTTTGTAATACATTTATATTCACAGATATTACATGAAAAAGGTTTTTCTTCAGTATGTATTTTCATATGTGTTTGCAAATTATCTTTTCTTATACTTTTATAATCACAATTATTACAACAGTACACTTGTTCAGCGACGTGCGCGTTAAGATGTGCCAATATGCAACGTTTTTGAGATGTTTTAAATTCGCAAATATCACAATTAAATATTTCCGTTAGTTGTGGTACTGGAGTTTGTTCCACTGGTGTCCGAACTGCAGTGGTGTTCTTTTGGTTCTTTTGCGTCTTATGACTGTATGAAATGTGTTTGGCGAGAATGTCTTTTGTTGAAAATTTTTTGCTACAACCATCACATTCAAAAATGTATTTTGTTGATGCCCCTGACGTGTTGTTCGTAAGCATATTTACACTCTTTTGTTTCAATGTTTTCTTTTTCATAATCTTTGCAGGATGCTTTCCTTTTTTATTAAATGGTTGATTATCTTTTTTGACTTTAGGCTTTGATTTAATAGTAGGGCTTTCTAAATCGAGGTTTCCTTTACGAACATCGTTTATGTTACAATCAGTAGAATTTGATTTAATCTGGCTCTCAGACGCTTTTGAAAAATGATTTGTCGGTATGATGTATGGTTCTGAAATACACACGAATTGAACATTTAATTTATTATAAGTAAAACTTTTTATTGTAAGACAAATGAAACGCATTCTCTATCAGTCAACCAGGGAGAAATAAATAAATTATAAAATTACATAATTATACAATGTTGCTAGATATAAAGTATTTTACTTTTAATAATGTCTCTCATATTCATTTTTGGAGGGAAAGAATGGTAGAGAAACTAAATTCGAATGATAATGATGATGTTCTTCTCACCATGTTACAATTACCTACCTTAATCTAATAATAGATGCTTCGAATTGCACACGGGACAAGCATTATACAGAATGATTCGAAGATTGACTTGTTGATTGAAGAAGATCATTTAGGCCATAGTTATTTTAGACAAAGTTTGACTATACTTTTTGTTTTTGGTGATAAAACTAAAAATTTTACAGTTAATTGCTAATAATTGCCAATTTAATTAACGTCTGTTTTTTTTTTAATTTAAGTAATGAATAAGAAATGTAAGAAAATATATAGTCTCAGCATCTGCGTCATCAGAAATGTTTTTGTACAGACACTAAGTTCACGAAAATTTTCTACGATTTAAAGAAACATAATTAACATTTTAAATAAAAAACATTTTTGACACTACGTTAAAAAAAAACTGATGGTACTTTAATTTATTGTTAGAACCTTTTTGAAAACATGCTTGGTTATTACTCTTTCATTTGAGGTATAACTTACACGCATTTGTTACAAATTTTTCAATTGTCCCCTAAAACCAGATTGAGGTAGAAAATTTAAATTTTTAGGCAGACTAATAAAAATTCTAATTATTTATTTGTTGATGCTCAAAATAATTGATGCGATTACTAACACAAGCACGGGCCCGTCGTCTCACTTCTGTTGTAGTTACTTTCAACATTATGGTTTCAAATGCTGAATTAATTCTTTGAAATTTGAAATTCCGGCCATATAGCTCGAAGAAATGACAATGAATGAGGAAGTTTTACGAGTGGCAGCCTCGTACCAGTAGTCAAAGTGTAGGGCGGCTCTTCATTAGATGGAATGATGACCTAGTAAGAAATGCAGGAAGGCGATGGATTCCTGTGCTTTGTTGCATTCCGTGGGTGAGACCTATGTTCAGCAGTGGACTTGTGAAGGCTGTAATGATGAAGATTTAATAATGCAATGCGCTCATCTTTTCATTTTAATTTTTATAGGAAAGGGTGACAAATGAGCACACAGTCCACACGATGGTAAATGGTCGCTGTGACCCATAGACATCTACATCTGTCCTCAATAAAGAATCAAAATGCAGATGCATTGTCACCCATGAGGACTACGATGGAATGCCTCTTTTCCAGTAAGAAGGGTATCCGGTTCTCTACAATCACCATACGAAACACAGCAGTGTTAAGCTGCTATTTTACGCTGGTATTCTGTGAGAGCGTGGTCTTTCCCCGGTCGAGCTGACCCATTCGTGCTATAACTATACTACTAATATAGCTGCAGCATGGCTCTACCACAACTAAAATGGAATGACCCACAGCCTGTGATTATTCTGACTCTATACCCATCAGAATGGAACACAGCAGTGCACGCACTGCTATTTGACGGCAGAAATAGGTAAGAGGAGGAGGGAGGAGTCCATCCGAGCAGGCACAAATAGATCAACTCCTAGGCAAACATGCAGTCACACCACCTAGTACTAACACTAAGAAGATGGCAAAGATAATTGGTTGCTTACCAGTATGTATCTTAGTGACATACATACTAGCTGACAGGGTAAAAATATTTTTTTAATGTATTAATAAGAGTGCTTCTGACATGCAATTTGAATTTAGACAAAGGCAAACAGTAAATCATTACACTACACATGAAGCCCTCTTTGTGTCTACGGGCTACAGTAACCACTTGCTATAAGGTAAATTGTACCTTATTTTAATAATATCAAGAAAAGGGGTATATCTTACCTGTTTCATGATTCTCATTTTCTTCAAATTTGGAATTCTCATATTCGAAAATCTCTTCCTCAACTTTAACGGCATCAAGGCAAAAAATTTCGTCCTTGCAATCATTGTCTATATCACACTCTACAGGCCAGATATCTATATGATAAATTGGTGTGAATTTAATCTCATCTCTAACCTTATGCGGTTTTGGTATTGACTGAAAGGAAATAATTTTTTCAAATAAGAGAAAAAGCCACTATAGTGGTGGAGTAGGAGAACCCATACTACCCCTGCCATCCCGCAGATGTCGTAAAAAGGGGCAGAGGGAAACTGAAACAGGAGATCGGGGGGCAGCATCTTCCTGATAACAACTTCAAACAATAATAAACACCAGACAAAAGTGAGGGTTCAGCGTAAACTTAAATAAGAATGTACATAGTTCATCTATCCCGAGAATCAAGTCTCAACAACTTTTGGATTCAGATTCACGAAAGCTGTAAATTGACAAAGATTTATCTTTGTTTATTGAGATTTGTTTATATACAATAGGGTAATATATATGGTATTATTAGATAATTACTTATTATTTAAGTAAAAAATTAAAACAAATGTTTATTTACATTGTAAGTCTTACAACACTAACTTATACTTCAAGTACAAACAATTGAGCAAACAAATTCAATGGGAGTTTTGGCTTTGCATGGTTTTAGAAAGTTTGGATAAATTTGGCTCATAACTTGTTGTTTTAAGTTTCAAGCACGAATCTGAATTTTCATTTGTTAGTTGGCTTCTTACTTTACTTTTAATTATATTCATGCAAGAGAACGCTTGCTCCCACGAATATGTCGATCCGAAGATAGTCAGCACTCCAAATGCCAACTTCTTCACCTCACTATAGCAATCTGGAAGACTATTCCATGCGTCAAATATAACTCAACTCGCAGCCTTTCTTTTCTTTTAAAGCTGTTCATTTTTTTAGCGTTACGTACATACATTTCTGGACCTAAAACTTTTTCAACTTCCTTATCAAATCTGTAAATTTTCAACTCCACAAAGCTTTACTTTTTAAATCCATCAACTGCATTTCTAGAGATCCAGTATCAAACCCAAATGGCTCAGTATGGATCGATTTATAATTTTTTTTTTATAAAATAAATAATATTTGCGTATGAAACTAAAGAGCCGCAGCTTCACATCCAAAGAGCCGCATGTGGCTTGCGAGCCGAATTTGACAAAATCCCTCCTATGAAGCAATCTATGAGTGAGACCTATGTTCAGCAGTGGACTTTTATAGGTTTTACTGGATGGAATGGATAATACCATTGATCCTCCTGAAAGCAACTGCTCCAGAACCGCATTTGACTCAATAGCCTGTTGTTGTAATCTTCTGCAACGAATAAGTCTTGCATGACAGGTGAAACAGACAATTATGGGCCCCTCATTCTCATCCAACTGAAAATATGAACATCTTCATAAATATGAAATAGTATTCAAATACAGTAGAACGCCGATTATCCGAACGCCGATTAACCGAATCGCCAATTATCCGAATCGGTCCTAAGCTTAATATAAGAAATTATAACCAAGTACAGTAAGTAACATTACTTAGATTACTTATACAATACTTGGTTAACTGATATTAAAAATAACAGTGAATAAATTTTAAGTTTTGTGACCGCATTGGAAAGTGGTGATGGATGTTCGTCACGAAAAGTAATAAAAAAGGCAAAAGATGAACAACTTGAGAATGCTGTTATTACGTGGTTTCTGCAGCACCGATCTATTGGACAACCGATTTCAGGATCGATTTTATGTGAAAAGGCGCGAATATTCAGTGAAAAAATGGGTGTAGCTGGTTTTACTCTTTATAAAACTTTATAAAGTGCAAAACCATTTATAAAATTAATAAAGTTTATTCTATGTGTGACAGTTCGTTTTTCTATATTACATACCAGTCTATGTCCGATTATCCGAATTTTCGATTATCCGAATCAACCCCGGTCACAATTAATTCGGATAATTGGCGTTCTACTGTATATAAGTTTGTAATAAAGATTATTGGCTACCATTTTAATTTGTCAACATCACTTTTTATAATATTGAAGTGACAAATAAACTTACCATCTAGTAAGTGACTAATGGGCATCATGGGCACCTGCAACGAACTTCAAGCAATGGCTACAGATGCAATGATACCTCTGAGGAGTAAGATGTAATGCATCACAGCCTGGCTCCCGATGTCCTTCAGACTGGGACACATACTGCTGCTTGGTGCCAGAAAATGATAAGAGGATGATATCTAGACAGAAAGAAACTCCTACAGTTCCAAGCCACCTACATCCATCAACTACATTACCTACATTAACTTCAAACTGCCATCATCACTAAGAACATTACAAATACTTCTCTTATCACTCTAAGTAAACTGATAATGCTTGTGGTAGGAGGATATTGAAACACAACACAGGGTGGTGGGTGGTACTACACATTCTGTGAAAGTGTAGTACTACACGGGTCGAGCCAACCCATCCATGATACAACCATAATATAGCTGCAGCCCGGCTCTACCACATATAAAATAATGATAATAAGTCTTTCTACTCTATTCTCTCATTTTAATAGTCCTATAGAACTGTTTTAATTTGCTGAACAACCAAACCAGGGTAAATGTTAGGGTTATGTTTCTTGATAGAAAATCACAATAATAGTCATTCAAGTAATATGTACTAGAACAGACACCAGGAACAAAATCTATGCGGGTTGCATGGAAGGAATGGAAGGAGAATGTAGTACAATTAAGACCCAGATATTTGACACTTCACTAATCTACACGCTCAGCTTTGGAAAAATCTAGTAGACTGTAGACAAGCTAGGGAGGCCCTGCCTGAAATAAACAGTTGTTTAACCAAAGTTCTAATGAGACTGAACAAGCCGCAGATCAGGATAGTAACAAGTGCTATCACAGGACACAGCAACTTTAACAAGCATTTATTTACTATAGGCGTTACAGATAGTCCGCTGTGCAGGGCATGTTTGGGGGAAGAAGAAATGGCGGCCCATGTGATATTGAAATGTCCGGAGGTCGCTTAGTACATGGCTAAACATCTCGGCACGCCGAGATCACTCCCCGAAGTTGCATGCAATATCAAAGGACTGTTGAGCTTCTTCGGGGAGATCTCATGACTTGAATAAGCATATTATTCCTGCCCAAACGCAAAATACGCGCATAGATGTGGAGTTGAAGAAATCAGCCCATCGTAAACTATACTAAACTAAAACCCAGATACACTAGGGGCCATTTTGTCCCGCAAGATGATGTGGAACACTCAATCTACATGACGATGCTACATTGCACAGTGACCCAGAACATTATAAGTGACATGGGACATGTAGCTTGTTCCCTTTCCGAGAGAGAGAGAGTGCACGTGTCCGGCGTCAGTGGCACATCATTTGTTACTGGGTGTAGTTGTGTGTACAACTTTACTTGCAACATGTCAGTTGTGTGGGGAAATTAAACCGTGCTTTTACTTCTTGAACTTTACAAGTGTCGTGTTTTGTTATGGGATATTTCTAACCACTAACTTCTGGTGCTATTCTGCCGATCAGTTGTTTCAACACTCGAAAAGTGTATGACAAAGAAGCATATAAAACTCTAGTCAACAAGTATCTTAATGCAGTGGCAAGTCTGATACCAATATGAGGGCAACAGCATTCCATAGTATAGTATCCTGTTTGGTTATGGAAGGTCCGATCATTTGTTATAACATTTCAAAATCAGATGTTGACATTTGAGTAAAATTCACAAAAGATCCGTCAGACATTCGAGATCACTTAAAATATCAATTCCTCTTCCTTCTCATTGTAGTAAGGAATTCTGAATCCACCACCTTTGCTTTTGTTTACGTTTCAATCCCGCAATAAGCACTATGTACACAGCACTAATCGCCACAACCTCTTTGGGAGACATTTCTATAAGCACTGACTACTGACTAGTGTGGCCTGCAAAAAGTTCCGCGACATGTCTCGGGATATTCCATGTATTCGTTGAGAGACATGTTGCACAACATGCCGCTCCTTCCGTACCCAAGTATATCCTACTAGGCTTTACTTAAATGATAATACTGATTTTAGTGCGACCCAGGATACCAGGCTAATTGTTATTTTTCAGGTTCTGGTTGTATTTGTTACTAAATTTAACGCTACACCTTATCGTACATATATCGGGCATCATAATGTATTTCTCCAGTGATAACAACAAATTATCGCAACTTCATTTAACAATAAATAAATATTAAAAAACTTACAAAACTGTTCGTCAATGTCCTATACAAATTTTGGAGACCAGTCTCCTTTAGTACAACCATGCGTACATTAACGCTTAAACAAATTCTACAAACTTCACCTTCACTAAAAGCCATTGCTGTTTTCTACAGCTTTATTAAAAATTAAAATTGATTATTGTATCAACTATCAACGCGTAGTGTTTCTATATAGTTTGTTTTTTTTTTTTTTCTTAGTTTGGCAACTTCCAATGGATTCTGCCAGCGTCAAGTATTTCATGAGAGTCACACAGTGTATTTACTAGTTTCCGTTTAACTTTATGTTACGAACTTACTTACCTATGTAGTTATTTTCGAATGAATTAACATTATAATATTTTTACAAAATTATTGCTAATATAATAATATGGATATAGGTAAGTGACAAAGGTACTATAGTTTAATGTTATTAATGGATATGAAATCTAATAAAGTTTGAACAAAAGGAGTGAAAACTAAATTTAACAAAGACTTAAGATTTACAGGACGAGGAATGTTATTAGGAAGATAATCGTATAATGAAACGGAGAGGTTAGGGCAGTTAAAAAATTTATGATCGATCGTACCTTCGTCTAATCCACACTCACAAATTGAGCTATCTTTAATCCTAAGTTTTGCTAAAAATACAGGTGTACAAGTGTGTCCCAATCTAATTCTACATATGACAGATGTGCTATGTTTGGAACCATTTCTAAATTTAAAAAACCATGGTTTGGAGGGGATGTCAGGTTGGAGTTCTGCATAATATTTACCGATAGACTTCTGAGTTTTTTTCCAAAGAGAGTTCCAATCTGCCATCTGATGGATTTTCGCAAGAGAAATAAGGTCATGAGTATATGTTATATGATGCATGAGGGTACCAGAAGTAGATGCTTGCTTTGCTAAGGAATCAACAAATTCGTTGTCACGTATGCCACTATGACTTGGCAGCCAAGCAAGTTTCAAGTTAAGACCTTGACAAAAACACCTATACAGTGCACCTTTTATTTCAAAAATAATTGGGAATTTCGATTTACTTCGAAACGGGTTAGATGAAATGCTTTGTAATGAACTATATGAGTCAGTAAAAACAATACATTTGTTAATTTTATGTGCTTCTATAAATAAAATTGCTTCTAAAATAGCAACCGCTTCACCAGTGAAAATTGAAGTAACATTTGAATTTTTAAAATTTAATATAATTTTATATTTTGGTATCCAGACAGCTGAACCTACATAACTATTCTCGGAGAGTTTGGATGCATCAGTAAAAAGGGTCAACCAGCCTTCCCATTTTTCACGTAATATACTTAGAAATTTTTCTTGGGCTACAGGGGAATTTTTAGTCACACCAAAATCTAATATAACTGGAGGGTGATAACATAAAGCTTCAAATGGATGTACGAATAGAGGATTAAACATACTTTGAAATATGGGAAATTTGAAGGTAAGTATGTTTTGGTAGCTTTTAAGAATACATGGAACGTCTTTATGAGTCCAGTAGTTGTTGTTCTTCAAACCAGAGTTTAAAGAATGCAGTTTAGAAAGCAGTGGGTGTGAAGATATCTGAAATATTCGATATATAAAGCGATCGGCAAGATACTGTCTACGTAGGTGAAGAGGAGGTTCGCCACATTCAACTTGTAGAGCATTTGATGGAGATGATTTCATGGCCCCTAAAATAATTCTTAAGCACTTGAGTTGGATTTTATCTAAAAGGTTAAGAGCTTGTTTATTACAGGGTTCCAAAAGAAATGTACCGTAGTCAAAATGACTACGGATTAGAGCGTTATATAAAAGTTTTAAACAATATGGATGAGATCCCCACCAAACACCTGTCAGTGAACGAAGGATATTTACATTCTTTTCGCATTTTTGGGCAATGAACGTTAAATGAGGAATACCTGTCATCTTAGAATCCAGAAAAACACCTAGAAATTTAACATTATCACATGTCGGAATTATTTGATTTTGTACTGAGATTGAAATATTGGGACAAAATCTTTTTCTAGAGAATATTACTACTCTACTCTTTGTAGGTGATAAGGAGAGACCGTTATTAGTAAGCCAATTATTTAAGTAGAACAATGCAGAGTTAAGACGATAACTCAATTCTGTAAAGTTCTTAGAAGAGTAATAAAGAGTTAGATCGTCAGCATATTGTAAGACTTTACAAAAGGAGTTAACAGAATGTTCGAGATTATGGGTGTATATGTTAAATAAAATAGGACTTAAAACAGAACCTTGTGGGAGGCCTCGCCATATCTGTCTAGGAGGGAGCAGTTTTCCTTGAACTCTTATACATATTGACCTAACTGAAAGTAAATTAAAAATAATGCGAGTAATTCTATGGGGAATATCCAAAAGAAACATCTTTTCTTTGAGTAAAGGGAGGACAACGTTATCATAGGCTGATGATACATCTAGAAAAACAGCACCAACCGATTCTTCTCTGGAAAAAGCCGAACGTATATCAGAGGTAAAAACAGACAAGCTATCAAGCGTGCTCAGTCCCTTTCGAAATCCAAACTGTGTTTTGGCCAAGAGACCTTTATTTTCAACAAACCATTCTAGACGGTTTTTAATTAAATGCTCCATTATTTTGCACAAAGTTGATGATAGTGCTATAGGGCGGTAACTATTACCATCACTAGGATTTTTGTCTGGTTTTAAGATGGGGATAATAATTTGCATTTTCCAATCATTAGGGACTATTCCCGTAATAAATATGTCATTGATTAAGTCTAGAAAAATTTGCTTAGATTTTGATCCTGCGTTAGAAATAAATGAGTATGGAATTCCGTCTATACCTGGTGACGAATCTTTAAGGTGTTGAACAACCAATTCAAATTCTTCATTGGAGAAAAGTTCATTAAAACGTGAATTATTAATGTTTACTCCAGGTTGGGTTATCAATGGTTCACAATAACATAATTCCTCAAAGGAGGGAACCCAAGGAGGAGCAAGCTTATCGGCAAATAAATTGTACCAAATAGAGGAATCACATTGCGGTGAATAATTATCAACGTTATATGATCCGCGGAATTTCTTTATATTCTTCCATAATATAGAAGCAGGAGAGCGGGGTGAAAGATTTTCACAAAACCTAAGCCAACCCGTCTTTTTTTTATGTGCTAACAGTTTTAATGTATGGGCAGCTATTTTTTTATAATTTAAAAAGTTTTCATTAGACATATTGGAGGAGTATAGACGTTCAGCTTGTTTTCGTTTTTTAACACTGAGTGTGCATTCCTCATCCCACCATGGGGGAGAACAAATTTTGGTAGGAGGCGAAATTTTTCGTGTGAAACATGAATCTGCGGTGAGTAAAAGATACTTAACAAAGTTTTTGTAGTTTGTCTCTATATCATTAGAGTCACTGTTATAAAATTTAGAGAGTACCGAATCTGATAACGATGAGAATTTAGCCCAGTCCGCTCTTTTTATATTATATTTTAACAGCGGCGAAAAAACTCTGATTGGTATTGAGCAGTTGGCTAATGAAAGTAATATTGGGTAATGATCACTACCATAAGAGTGAGATAAAACTTTCCAGTTAATACGTGATGTAAGATTTGGGGTACATAAAGTTAGATCAACAACACTTTTAGGATTTTGAGATGGATATACTCTCCTTGTTGGTGATCCATCATTTAAAATGCAAATATTAAATTCATCAAACAATTCCATTAAGAGATAGCCAAAAGTATCATTTCTGCATGAGCCCCATGAGACATGGTGAGCATTAAAATCACCTAGTAATATAAAAGGAGGAGTAATAGATGAAATTATTAAGTTTAATTCAGTGATCAGTGATGGATGTGGGTGAGGAATATAGAAAGACAGGTATGTGATATCATTACATTTGCAAGCAACAACGTTTAATTCCTCACTATGTTGAGGAAGTGAAACCTTGATAAATGAATGTAATCTATTAATTAGGATTACAGCACCGGCGTAACCATCTTTCCTGTCTTCGCGAAGGCAGGCAAAACCAGGAATACGGAAGTGAGATTTCGGGTGAAGCCAAACTTCTGATAATGCTACAAGAAACGGGTTGTATTTGTTGATAAGATAGATTAAATCGCCTTTTTTATGCTTAATACTGCGACAGTTCCATTGAAGAATCGTAGCCATGCTTATTTATATTATTTAAGAGCGTCGATAGTTTCTCAAGAGACTGGGTTAAATTTGGAGGTAAACAGTGGTCGTCAAATTTCGAAATGATACACATAAGTGTGGATATCAGTAAGTCTATTAAATTTTCATTTGGAGAAGTATGGTTTTGCTCATTATCTTTAGGGTAAGCATTTCCATTAGGAAGAGAACTTCTTGGGGTTTGGATCATGGATTCATGGGCTGTATGGTCATACCCATGATCGGATGCTGGAGATCGTGGTTTCCTATTTATATAGAAAGTTTTTTTATATGAATTCTTATTACTCGTATTAGGAGATGGATTTAAAGGAGTTTTGCTTGCAATGTCGGAATAGCCTCGTTTGGATGGGCGGACTCTTACAGATGCTTCGTCATAAGAGATATGTTCTTGGGACATAATTACTTTAATAGATTTTTGTCTATTAAATTCTGGACAGGATGAACTAATAGCTGTATGATTACCAGAACAGTGAAGACATGTGACCGAGGTAACTTCACATGATTCTCCATCATGTGGTTGTCCACATTTATAACAACGAGGCTTGGATCGGCATTTAGACTTAACATGACCGAAACGACAGCAGTTATAACATTGTATTGTTGGTAAGATGTATGGTTCTACAGGATATGACGTGAAATAGGCAAAAACATGTGAGGGCAGTAATTTACCAGAGAACGTAATTACAATCGTTTGTGTTGGAATCCACTCAACAGAGTTATCTGCTTTAATCACTTTACGGTTTAGACGACGAGCGCGAATTATTTCTGAGGAAGAGGCAACTTCTGATGCAGAGACAAATTCATCCATACCTATATCGATTGGAACACCTCTAATGATACCCATTCTCGTAATAGCATAGGTAGGAATTACCGCTACAAAATTTGAAAAGAAGAAAACTCAATAGAAATACGATTGCGTCCTATTCTCTTAACACCATTTTTTAAAATTCCCTGAATATTGTTTTGGTACAGAAATTGACCCACTTTAATTGGCTTAATTGTAGTTCCGGAG